TACAAGAGAGGAGATTCCATCTGAGCATGAGGAAGAACTTCCTGACTGTGAGAGCCGTTCAGCAGTGGAACTCTCTGCCCCGGAGTGTGGTGGAGGCTCCTTCTTTGGAAGCTTTTAAACAGAGGCTGGATGGCCATCTGTCAGGGGTGATTTGAATGCAATATTCCTGCATCTTGGCAGGGGGCTGGACTGGATGGCCCATGAGGTCTTTTCCAACTCTTTGATTCTATGAATCCTTTGTTAGGTGGTGTTAGCTGGCCCTGATTGTTTCCTGTCAACAATCAGGGCCAGCTAACACCTCCCAACAAAGGATCCCCCAGGCAGGGAGCAGCCAGGCTTTGAAGCATGCTTGATGGAGTCTCTAACTACAGAATTCGGTTCAGATAAAGCTACCAGGCTGTTAACTAATTAATTAATTAATGTGATTTAATGTTTTAAATATATGTAGTTATTGGATTATATTATGTATTTTATTATATGTACATTTAAGAGGCATCGAATTGTTGCCAGCTGGAGGCCTCCCTGAGAAGGGCAGGGTACAAATATCTGAAATGAATAATAAAAATAAATAAACAAACTGCAAGGCCATTTAATGCTAATCAAGATGGCCAATTGCGACATTCACTCGACATACAGTTCACGTGCCCAGTTTCCAACAAGACCTCACAACCTCTGAGGATGCCTGCCATAGATGTGGGTGAAACTTCAGGAGAGAATGCTTCTGGAACATGGTCATACTATAGCCTAGAAATCTCACAGCAATCCACGAATTAATTATTATTTCTATTTTAATATTTATAGGTTGTAGATTTTAAATTGCATTGTTTTTGTTGGTTTTTTTTTTAGAGAAATGTGTTATCTTGAGAAATCTCTGCTTCTTCAGCATAACTCTATAGTCAACTACTGGAGAAAGTTGACTATAGAAGGACTGAAGGTCTACACTGAAGGACTAGAGATAACATTTTAAATTGCATTGTTTTTAATACAGTGAGCTTCATGATAATAATGATAATAATATAGTATAATAAGTCATTTAAAATAAATAATTAAAATGTTTATTTTTGGTTTAATATTTATATGTTATAGATTTTAAATTACATTTTAATGCAGTGAACTGTATTATAATAATAATAATAATAATAATAATAATAATAATAATAATAATAATAATAATAATAATAATGTGTCCAGAGAATAATAAAGTGTCCAGAGAAGGGCAACTAAAATGATCAAGGCTCTAGAGAACAAGCCGTATGAGGAGCGACTTAAAGAGCTGGGCATGTTTTGCCTGAAGAAGAGAAGGCCGAGAGGAGACATGATAGCCATGTATAAATACGTGAGAGGAAGTCATGGGGAGGAGGGAGCAAGCTTGGTTTCTGCTGCCCTGGAGACTAGGATGTAATAAAGTGTCCCGAGACAAGCTGGAATGTGTCCAGAGGAGGAAACTAAAATGATCAAGGGTCTAGAGAACAAGCCCTATGAGGAGCGACTTAAAGAGCTGGGCATGTTTAGCCTGAAGAAGAGAAGGCTGAGAGGAGACATGATAGCTATGTATAAATATGTGAGAGGAAATCACAGGGAGGAGGGAACAAGCTTGCTGCCCTGGAGATTAGGACATGGAATGGCTACAAACTACAGGAAAGTATATTCCATCTGAACGTTAGGAAGAACTTCCTGACTGTGAAAGCTGTTCAGCAGTGGAACTCTCTGCCCTGGAGTGTGGAGGAGGCTCCTTCTTTGGAGGCTTTTAAGCGGAGGCTGGATGGCCATCTGTCGGGGGTGCTTTGAATGCGATTTTCCTTCTCCTTGGCAGGGGGTTGGACTGGATGGCCCATGAGGTCTTTTCCAACTTTATGATTCTATTAGGAATTGTGGAAGTTGAAGTCCAAAACACCTGGAGGGCCAAAATTTGCCCATGCCTGGTGTAGATGCATCCAGTGAACACAGTTGATAATGGCCTCCCATATCCATGAGTTCTGCATTCACGGATTCAATCAACCATGACTCGACAATACATATTTACAAAAATAATCCCAAAAGGTAAACCTTGATTTTGCCAGTTTATATAAGAGACAACATGCTACTCTATCATTGGATATAATAATACTTGAGTATCTACAGATTTTTGGTATACTAAACGTCCTGGAACCAAACCCCAGAGCATACTGGAGGCCCACTTCAAGAGAAAAAGAATAAATAATGGGAGGGAAAGTGGTAGAAGATATGGAATGAATCAAAGTTCTCGCCTTTGCTAGTGATTCTGGCCATAGAATTACAGCTCTTTCTTGTGGAATGGTGCTTTGTTTGGGATTAGGTGTTCCTTACTGGAACACTCGTGCATAGAAGTTCTTGCCAGTCTCCTACATAGCAAATACTATTACTGTGATGGTGGTGATCTTCAATAACTTTGTTTATGGTATTTCAAAACAGTGCTGCGGAAAGGTACCTTTCTGACCTGAAATTCCCTGAATCAACCAACGTGGCCTGTGACTTTTCTAGCTGCAAGTTCTTGAAGTTATAGCCCAGAAAAATAACGTTTCTCACATCAGGTAAGCTCTTAACCTATTGTTGGTGGTATTAATTGCCACCAAGTTGAATTCAACTGATGGTAATCTTGTGTAAGAAACCCTGTTATTGTATTGTCAAAGGCTTTCATGGCTGGAATCACTAGGTTCTTGTGGGTTTTTTCGGGCTATATGGCCATGTTCTAGAGCCATTTCTCCTGACGTTTCGCCTGCCTCTATGGCAAGCATGCTTGCCATAGATGCAGGCGAAACGTCAGGAGAAATGCCTCTAGAACATGGCCATATAGCCCGAAATGCCTCTAGAACATGGCCATATAGCCCGAAAAAACCCACAAGAACCTAACCCTGTTATTACCTCTGTTTGTAAAGTCGGGGCTGGAATTTTCTTGATTAAATCAATCCAGCCGTAATACTTCCTTCTGCTTTTCCTACTGTCTTCCACTACTACTACTGCTATTCTACTTCTATTCTATTATATTACTAGCCATCACCTGCCCCGTGTTGCTGTGGCCTTGTCTGGTGATCTGGAAAATAAAATAATGAGAAAATGTTGGGTTCTAATATATGTAATTTCTTTGTGCTTGTGCGTAAACAGTATTTGATTACATTTTCTTGCCCTGGTGAAGGGAGTTGTATTGGATGGCCTTAAGTATTTTCTGTTGGTCATGGGGATTCTGTGTGGAAGTTTGCCCCAATTCTGTCATTGGTGGGGTTCGGAATGCTCTTTGATTGTAGGTGAACTATAAATCCCAGTAACTACAACTCCCAAATGTTAAGGTCTATTTCTCCCAAACTCCATCTGTGTTCATATTTGGGCATATGGAATATTTGTGCCAGGTTTGGTCCAGATCCATCATTGTTTGAGTCCACAGTGCTCTCTGGATATAGGTGAACTACAACTCCCAAACTCAAGGTCAATGCCCACCAAACCCTTCTAGTGTTTTCGGTTGGTCATGGGAGTCCTATGTACCACGTCTGGTTCAGTTCCATCATTGGTGGAGTTCAGAATGCTCTTTGATTGTAGGTTAACTATAAATCCCAGCAACTATAACTCCCAAATGACAAACTCAATTTTTTGAGTGATTATCACTCCTTGCGTTGGTAGGTGTCTTGTGGCCAAATTTGGCAGCAATTCATCTAGTGGATTTTGAGTTAATCCACAAACGAACATTACATTTTTATTTATATAGATTTTTATCCCACTTCATTGAGACCTAAAGCTCCACCACATGTAAATAGATGTATTATTTGTATTTCTTTGTCAGCCGCCATACTATACAGAAGAGTGCTGCTAGGGGCACTATTATAGCAGACCACCTTTATATAACAGGACAAACATAATACTGTAATCCAAGGTATCTATAATGTACTGATATGTAAACAGATGGCTGAATTGGGCTGAAAAGAGGAGTAAAACCCTATCTCCTAGCATGAACTAGGAATGGTGAACAACATTGCATACTACAAGGGTTGAATGAAAAGTAATGCCTCCACCTTTGTAACTCCTCAACAGATGGCAGTACTTGTATGTGGCAGGTACTGGCTTGTTCAGTAGATTCTCCTCTACAGTTCAATTTTGTTGGGAAGCCTTATCATTGAACGGTTGTGTAATAATAATAATAATAATAATAATAATAATAATAATAATAATAATAATTTCTTACCTCCTTCTTTTCATGGCTTGAGGCAGGTCAAAGCACAGTCAAACACAAAAATACAAAACCCAAACATAATTAATTAAATTTTTTTTAAAAAAATCTGTGTTAGGCCTTCTCAATAGCTATATTGAAATAGACTATGCTTCTGTCCAAAATTATTCTCTTCACCATAGAATCACAGAGTTGGAAAAGACCTCGTGGGCCATCCAGTCCAACCCCATCCTGCCAAGAAGCAGGAAAATTGTATTGAAAGCACCCCTAACGGATGGCCATCCAGCTTCTGCTTAAAAGCCTCGAAAGGAGCCTCCACCACACTCTGGGGCAGAGAGTTCCACTGCTGAACAGCTCACACAGTTAGGAAGCTCTTCTTCATGTTCAGGTGGAATCTCCTTTCCTGTAGTTTAAAGCCATTGTTCCACATCCTAGTCTCCAGGGCAACAGAAAACAAGCTTGCTCCCTCCTCCTTATGACTTCCCCTCACATGTTTATACATTGATACATGGCTATCATGTCTCCTCTCAGGCTAAACATGCCCAGCTCTTTAAGCCACTCCTCATAGGGCTTGTTCTCCAGACCCTTGATCATTTTAGTTGCCCTCCTCTGTACACATTCCAGCTTGTCAACATCTCCCTTCAATTGTGGTGCCCAGAATTGGACACAGTATTCCAAATGTTGTGTAACCAAGGCAGAATAGGCAGAATATTAGTCTTATCATGTGTTAGTGCTTAAAACATTCTCTGTTGATCCCAACTGCATTCAAATTGCATGTCTCATTTTTCTAACAGATACTTCTATTTCCATTTTCCTTTCTAGGTCCTAGGCTATGTCTGTTAAGCTGAAATGCTCAGAAAATGATCCAAATTGATACCCCGAACCAAGTGGCTTCTGATGAAATCATTAAGGAGCTGGTAGGTTTTATCATATTCATGTAAACATCCTAAATAGCCCAGACAACCTGGTAGCAGGTGTATTTACAAAGGAACACATATTTAGGAATGTTGAATAAAACAATATTGAAAATTCTAGACAAGCTTTGCTCAATTCGCAGAAACCCGGAAATAATGGAAGGTCACCAACCAGGTTTGGGGTCGTGGTCTTCCATCCAGAGCTTATCCTGTTTAGCCTCCAATATCAGATGGGATTTGGTGCTTTTAAGAATCAGTCTCCATGAATTTGTCAAGGGTAAAAGCAAAGCCCGATTCATTCCAAGGATCGTGGGCTTTATAATCTTTGACATTTAGAAACCCAGTAGGTGGCAGTACAGGCCCATAACTTGAGCATACGGGTGAAAAATCCCTTATCCAAAGTGAAAGCACAGTTTATTTTGGAAGTTTTGTATTTACATAATAAGATGCTTGGGAGGTGAGACCCAAATGAAATTCATTTATGTTTCATATGCACTTTATATGCATAGTCTGGAGGTAATTTTTGAAACAATCTTTGTAATATTTGATTCTGGCCACGAAAACCTTCGACAGCACAATAATTATAATAATTTTGTGCATGAAACAAAGTTTTAGTCCACTGAACCATCAGAAAGCAAAGGTGTTATTATCTTAGCTACCTATTTTGTACTATTTTTGAGTATTTTGGATTTCCAGATAAGGAATATCCAGCTTTTACTTTGAAAATTATGTCGTAACTTAGACCCCATCTACACTGCCATTGAACTGCATCATTCTATGATTGGTGTAGACTCATATAATGCAGTTAATTGCTTTGAAATTGATTATATGATTATATTATACAGTTCTACACTGCCCTATATATTCCAGATTATTTGCTTTGAACTAGATTATATGGCAGTGTAGACTCATATAATCCAGTTCAAAGCAGATAATGTGGATTAGCTGCTTTGATAATCTGGATTACATGGCAGTGTAGAAGGGGGCTGAGATATAACACCTTGGTTTTTGCTGGCTGTTGTCACTTCTATGGTAGGAGTTTTTTCTGTTCACTCGAATAGAGAGTAAACTAATGTGGGGAAGAGGGGCAAACTGACTGGCTATTGTATGGAGCAAATGTGTCAGGAGATTGCGGATTTTGTTCCTGAATGTCTTAGGGGTTTTGTTGAGGTTTTTTTATGGTGGTCCCAGTTTTTTTTTCTAGCAATGGCTGGCTTCACCTGGCATATTTTATTTGCTTTTTCTGATACATATTAAAACAGAAAGCTATCCTTCACTCAATTCTTTATTATATGTTTGTAGCTATAATTGAGCAATAAAATAGCCCTTTTACTCTAGAGCATTATGACTCCAATTTTTTTTTTAAAATCAGAGAGGAGGCAGTTTGCCCTTGAAACCATGGGTCAACCAGGTTGCTTTTGAAAAACCTTTGGAAGAACCCTATGGAAGATACAAGAAATTGGTTCAATATCCTCTAAAAAGAATGTAAAATAATGGATGTGGAGGCAGTCTTGTCTTGGAGTACATTCGAAATCTGAGTGTGTATTTGAGATTAGCTGCTCTGAGTGTTGTGTTGTTTGGGAGGCGAGGCAGTGATTGACAGTTTCAGGAAAGCAATTAGTGACTCATTGTTTCCTGTTCTTTGAAGCTCTCTGGGAGTGAGTGTTTAACTATATAAGCCAGGGCCTGAGCTCAAGTGGCAGCTGAGTTCCCATAGAAGTTGAGGAAGCAAGAAGCCATCTTTGCTCCCTTTGCTTCCTCAAGTTGTTGGATCCTCAGTTCCATGTGAGTGATCTGTTTACACTTGGGGCAGATATAATTGAGTAATTGTTGCACGAAGAAGCTGAACATGCCATATTGTGCACGAGACAGTAAGATTTTGTGTTTGTTCCATCTGCAGACTACTAATAACCTCCCCTTTAGTGTGTTGGTTTTATGTTGTTTTCTGTATGCAGGGGTAAAGGTGTGGGTTAGTGAGGGTGTGAGATCGAGTGGTCCCTGGTCAAGTGGTCCCTGGTGGGAAAAAAAAGGTTGGGAACCACTGATTTAGGGAGAGGCCCTTAGGGTACTGCGGGTAAGCAGTCCCTCCTAATAACTTTTTCATATCTGCAGCAAAACCCCTTCAAAAGCAAGCCAACATCCTGTAGCCAGGGCCTTTCAGGATTCATAGAAAGTGTGTGCTTTTCATATTAATACTACCACCACATACACAAACATACCCAAAATAGAAGAGTTAGTTGTTTGAGAGGTGTTTTTTGGGGAGGGGAAAATAATTGTGTGCTTATGTTTTCTTTTCTTCCAGTGCACTTCTAATGGACTGTCTTATGAGAGAGTTGAGCAAGAAGGAACTTCAGTCACAAGCCTAGAGATGTTTTTCTCCGGCTACCCAAAAATAGTTGGCTTGTCATATTTCCCCAATTTAACAAGGCTAACTCTTGTTAGGCAGAACATCCAAAACATCTCTGACCTGGAGAACTGCCCATTATTGAAAGAGCTGTGGGTGGCAGAGTGCTGCTTGACAGTAAGTCAGTGTATTATCTTTTCTTTTGTTCTGTTCACAGAATAAAGCAGGGTGGCATGAATTGTTCTTTCTTAATGCCATATGTTCAAGGCAGAATTATGCAAATCTTCAGGTATTTTTGGACTGGGGAGCCATTATCCTCTGTTGATTAGGTTTGATGAGAATTTCACTCCAGTGACAAAACGTGCTAAATGTAGAATCCATCTGCGAGGACAGTCACTCCTATGTAGTGTTTCACTACTTAGAAGAACACAATTTCTAAATCCATGCTAAGTATATTATCTAGTTTGAAAGGCGATCACGTATAAAAACTAGCAATCCTGCAAATATAGATGCTGGGAAAAGTTCCTACATATGCCTGGCTGAATTGAAAGGGAATTGCTGTAGTATAGTAACGGGTATAGTTGCAGTTCATGGGCCTTATGAAAGGGACTCCCTCTAAACTAATGTACTGTAATG